TCCTATGTTAAAGATAAAAAGAAACTGTTTCCTTTGCAGGTTTGCATTACTATAAAAAAAAAAATCAGTTCATTCTGGAGTAGCTGTTTCCATGCAACTTGACTCCTATACTAGGCATGTACATGTTAGTTATGGTTAGGTAACTGAAAAGTAGTTTATTGTGTAGGAATAAAAATAATACAAGGGAAAGTATGAAAATCTATAAAAGAATACAGAGGACGTGTTTATCTTCTTCATGTCTTTAAAACACTTAAAATGAAATAAAGCAGGGCTTTGGAGCGGAGCCCAGAGCTGGAGCGCGGAGCAGCTCCGGAGCAGTGGAGCTGCAGGTTTTTGCCTGGAGCTGGAGCAGAGCCGGAGCACAGCTCCAAAGACCTGAAATAAAGACAGCCGTATAATATGGAACAGAGATAGGGAAATATTGGTGATGCAATAGCTAAGAAATTAATCACAAGAAAAAGAAAAGGCAAGAACACAAGTAAAATAGTAGATTATTTTTCCCACTTGATTATCCACGTAGGAAATAACACAGAGCCATATTCACCAGTAATACGAAAGGACACAAACCCACTGAGTGGAAAGATGGGGGCAGAAAAGTTATTGGTAAGGAATAAGGATAAGAAGTGGAATTTTGCAAGTTAAGAAAAACCCCAAATCCCTGCACTGCAATGAAGTTATACATTCAAATTTATAAAATGGGACCTTTTTTTTCAAATTATAGTGTCCCTGGATTGTTTCCCAATTTTCCCTCATAACAGAGAGATGAAAACTCCAACCCACCCTGCACTTTGCTATTCCAGGCTCACATCTTCAACTTGAGAGAGAAGGTGGATGAGGTAATATCTTTTATTGGACCAGCTTCTGTTGTTGAAAGAGACAAGCTTTCAAGCAACACAGACTCTTCTTCAGGTTTCCTAGGACCAACATTGCTAAAACACCACCACAATCAACAATGAAAGTCATAAACTTGAGGCAGTAGTCTACCCTCCAAGCTCTCTGGGTTTCCCAAGACTATTTCCCCCTATTCCAACCAAGTAAAACAAGTATTTGCTTCTCTCTTTTGTGCTCTCTGGAAAACAGAGAAAGTAAAGCTGTTAAACAGAATCAAACAGAACAGTTTCCAGATAAGCATAGACTTGAAGCAAAAATCAACCAATACTGAAATTATCACTGTTATCTCTATGAGAAGCTTCTCTTCAGACATGGATCCACTCCCAGTTCCTGCTATTACCTTGCACTTCCACTTATGTACTCCAAATTAGCTTTCTGGGAGACTAATGTGCTTCAGCTGTTTAACAGTCTTGCCGATTAATCATTGCCATAGAACTCTGTCCTGCAATCCTTAAGTTTTCAAAGCTGTTTTCTCTCTTGCATACTCTGGAACCTCAAATGTGTAACATCCCATATCAGACAGAGCTTCTGGTCTACATCTTCAGGAGTGACTAAAAGATACTTTAATTACTGTATCATGTGCAAAAATTCTATCATTCTTTAAATTCAGCAGTGCCTTCAATGCTTCGAAATCAACACCAATAAAAATGTTCCATGCTTCAAAATTATGATCCCGGCAGGAAAAAGGATCACTTTCTTCCAAAGAATTAATAGTATGTATTTGTGGTTAAGAGGGAGAGGAGAGAAGTAAAATTAAATGAGGCTCTGTTAGCTCCTAATTTTTTTTATTAAAATTGAAGGAACTAGTTGTTGTAGGGATAGATTATGCATATTTCAGTTCTTCTCTCTTCAGAATCTCCCCCACATCCAGCCCCTGTCCCAGGGCTGGCCAAAGGTGTTTTGTTGCCCAGAGTAGAAAACATTTTCAGCATCCCTCCTGAACAGCTGAGCAAAAGATCACCTGGGAGCAGAAGCGAGTTGAGTTCGCATCTTCAGAGATTTGTGATCAGGGAAACTGCCCTTATCACCCATCTCCTAAGGTTGGTCCTGCCCAATCCTTCTGCAGGAGAACCACGCCTATTTAGCCTCATAGGGTATGTCTGCAGACTGCAATTAAATTCTGCAGCTAATCCATGTCAGCTGACTCAGGCTTGTGGGGCTCAATCTGCAGGGCAGCAGGCCCAAGACCCACAAGCCTAAATCAGCTGAAATGGGCCAGCCACCGTTGTTTAATTTGCAGTGTAGACATACCCGTAGGAGCCAACAAGGGATGGATTTGTCCCTAAAGGGAACATTTTCTTTTTAATTTGTCTCATGACTTTATGATATTTCATACTGTTTAGGTTTTTTTAAGGTGAAAATCCATTTTGGATTCCATTTAACATAGTTAAAGATATGATTCTGTCACATAGGTCATGGATTCCGTGACTTTCCAAGACTCCATGACTTCTTCTGGGGCAGGGCTGGAGCAGCTGTCAGCCCAAGGGCCGCCAGAGCAGCAGCCCCAGAGCTGAAGTAGCAGTCACGGTTAGGTCAGCCCCACTGGGGCTGGTGCAGGGCTGGAGCAGCAGCCAGCCGCCGGGCCCACTGGAGCAGTTGGCTGGCGGTCGGCAGGTGGGCCTGCAGAGCAGCATCCAGGGTTGGGTCAGAGCCACTGGGACTAGAGCAGCAGTAGCACTGAGGCAGCTACCAGAAGTCAGGCTCCGGCAATGCTCTGATTGTTAGTGACCCTCCCACAGAGTATTTTTATTAAAAATCAGGAACAGGTTGTGGGCTTCCATTAATTATTCTTTATTGCCCATGACCTGTACCTGACTTCTAGTAAAAATACCTGTGACAGAATCTTAATCTTAACCATCGTTCTGGATAACAGTCCTTCCTTAGACCATTTAGTCAGGAGAATAGATATGCATCAGGTGCTTGGGACAGTGCAACAAATGTCCATCTTGGGGGGTAGGGGGGTTTCTTCCTCTAAAAATGCCACATATAGTATATGGTGACTTTCGAAACACTGTGATGAGCCAATGTCTTCTTTTTTACATTTTAATTAGAAACCTGAAAGTACAGTAGTACAAACTAGACCCCAACCTTGCAACATCTTTCTCGTGGGCAGGTTATTGTGTGCGTGCAGAGGGTTCCCTCCATGCACAATATATTGCAGGACTGGGCTTTAGAAAATAAATTTTATTTTAACATAAAAACAGATTGTGACTAAGTTAAAATGTGATCAAACAAGATTTAAATGATTAAAATATTAATACTTTGCACATCCATAACACCCCCTATCTAAAGATCTCAAAATAATTTACCAAACTACTACTGATAGTGAGCTCAGATTTTATGTATATAAAATATAAATGGGTAATATGGTGAAAATTAAAGAGTCACTGATAACACAATCATTTTAAAAACAATTCAATTTTATTAAATATTTTCTATATTTCTCATTAGTTATATTTTATCATTAGGAACATTGTCCTCAAAACTGAACTTTAATTCAGATAGGTTCATTTGTTCCTGCTACTTCTTCCCTGGCTTGTTATTGCGAAAATAATTTTGATGTAAAAAAATTAAATATTACTATTTCAGTTGAGAAAAAAGGCAGTGAATATTAGTAACCAGTTGTTTTTATAAAAACTGCTCTAGTAGCAATGTATGCTGCTTGTTAATGTAATGTTTTTCATCCATCTTTAAGCATCAGAAGCTTTTTAAGGTCTTCAGTTACAAAACAGAATAAATATAATATTAGAACATGTTTCAGAGTAACAGCCGTGTTAGTCTGTATTCGCAAAAAGAAAAGGAGTACTTGTGGCACCTTAGAGACTAACCAATTTATTTGAGCATGAGCTTTCGTGAGCTACAGCTCACTTCATCGGATGCATACCGTGGAAACTGCAGCAGACATTATATACACACAGAGATCATGAAACAATACCTCCTCCCACCCCACCGTCCTGCTGGTAATAGCTTATCTAAAGTGATCATCAAGTTGCGCCATTTCCAGCACAAATCCAGGTTTTCTCACCCTCCGCCCCCCCACACACACAAACTCACTCTCCTGTTGGTAATAGCCCATCCAAAGTGACAACTCTCTTCACAATGTGCATGATAATCAAGGTGGGCCATTTCCTGCACAAATCCAGGTTCTCTCACCCCCTCATCCCCCTCCAAAAACCACACACACAAACTCACTCTCCTGCTGGTAATAGCTCATCCAAAGTGACCACTCTCCCTACAATGTGCATGGTAATCAAGGTGGGCCATGTCCAGCACAAATCCAGGCTCTCTCACCCCCCCCCTTTTTTCCTAAGTTCCTGGGTTAGTGGTTCTGTTAACTTATCCTTGCAACAAAGCCTGTTGCCAACTGTGCCCACATATCTATTCAGGAGACACCATCACAGGGCCTAATAACATCAGCCACACTATCAGAGGCTCGTTCACCTGCACATCCACCAATGTGATATATGCCATCATGTGCCAGCAATGCCCCTCTGCCATTTACATTGGTCAAACTGGACAGTCTCTACGTAAAAGAATAAATGGACACAAATTTTACCCCCCCCCCCCCCAGACGTTCTGGTTAAACTTGGATTTAAACTTGGAGAGTGGTCAGTTTGGATGAGCTATTGCCAGCAGGAGAGTGAGTTTGTGTGTGTGGGTGTGTGTCCCCGGAAAAAAAGGGGGGGGTGAGAAAGCCTGGATTTGTGCTGGACATGGCCCACCTTGATTACCATGCACATTGTAGGGAAAGTGGTCACTTTGGATGAGCTATTACCAGCAGGAGAGTGAGTTTGTGTGTGTATAGGGGTGGGGGGGTGAGAAAACCTGGATTTGTGCTGGAAATGGCCCACCTTGATTATCATGCACATTGTAGGGAAAGTGGTCACTTTGGATGAGCTATTACCAGCAGGATAGTGAGTTTGTGTGTGTGGTTTTTGGAGGGGGATGAAGGGGTGAGAGAACCTGGATTTGTGCAGGAAATGTTCTTTTTATTAGAACATGGTTATTCATCAACATCTGCAACATTTCCCCTGAAACAGGTGACAGAGAAGTGAAAGAACGGAACAACAACTTGGGAAAAATGATAAGGTTCTTTAGCAGTACTTTACCTGTCTAGGTCAGATGTTTGTCTTTCAAAATTCACAAGAATCCTTAAAACTTGAACATCTTGACTGAGAAAGCAAGGAGGCAATAGGCCATGAATATTCAACTGTTGTCTCTCTTCCAAAGTAAAAGCCATGCCCTGTGTAAGAAGTGTATGACATTACCGTCAGGATAATTCTACAATGGAAAAAGAGCATGTATTTTTCACTATCAAAATATCCCATTAACTGAAGGGAAACCTCCCCCAAAAACCAACAAAAACCACAATGCTATCTATTTATAATAGGTATTTTGAAAGCACCATCACTCTATTATCCAGGCTTTAACTCAACTCAATGCAAACTTTGTGCCAAACTTTTAAAAGTTCAAGAGATCATGACATGACAATATTACAACATCTCCACCTCAGCATCAGTAAGTCATGGTCTTCCAATACTGAAATATTTTTCCTAGTAACTCCTCTAAGAAATAACTGAGCAGCTGTCAGTTACCTCAAAAGGTAGAACAGTGAACAACCCAAAATTCCTCCACACACTCTTATTTAACATGAAGATTTGAGAATATTTTCATTTTGTCTATTAGTGTAAACAATTATGTTTTCTAATATTTAGAAATCTTTCAAGATCTCTAATGAAAATAACTGCTGAAAATTCACATAAACAATGCAGTGGCTGCAATACAACACACCTGCTTCTCTATCAATTTATATACATAGGACCTGACCCAAAGCCCACTGAAGTCAATGGAAAAATACCCATAGTGACGTCAATGGACTTTGGATCAAATCCATTATTTTTATCCTACTGAATACTTAGTTATACTAAAAATAAATGAAAAAGTATTTTAAAGGGTCACTGGATTTCTTAAGGGCATCCAGAAAAGTAGTTTAAATTAAATGAAATTATTTAATATATTCTGTGTAGACTGGATGAGCATGCGGACTATTAAGCAGCAGGCTTTCAGTACAGTTTGCATTTAAGCATTTCTATTATTTTGATTGTAAGTAAGTTAAAATTTTGCAATAGCAACAAATTGTTAAGTAACACGGAATATCATTAAGTATCTTACTTAGTAAGAGCAGACAGGTGCTTTTCTAGTCTGCCAAGAATTTCTGCCCAAACAGTACACAATGGAAATTATATACTAGAAGTGATAATACATTACAGTATGCCTTCTTTCCCTACTTTTTGTTTGTATGATTTGTCTCAAGAACCTGAAAACTATGTAAAATACTGCTAATGTATTTCATGACCACCTGTGTAAGTCTTTCTAACAAGTTACATTTTTGCAAAACCCATGTTTTCTTTTTCCCTCAATTGTGACTGGATTCATATGGGGCAACAGATCTGCTGTTTCTCCTGTAGGACAGACACACAAGGCATCCACTCTTCTGGATTACAATAATTATTTTATTTATGTCTGCACAGGCAAATTGATGGTCAGAACAGAAAAAGGTTTGAATTGCCTTTTTGTGCAACAGCAGATGATTCCAGGCGACATAATGATGTGACCACCAGGAGTAATTTCTAAAAACACTTTGTTTCCACTAGACAAATTTAACATACAGTATTCACTGGGTGAAAGGGTGACAAAATGGCAGATGAAATTCAATGTTGATACGTGCAAAGTAATGCACTTTGGGAAAAACAATCCCATCAATACATACAAAATGCTGGGGTCTAAATTTGCTGTTACTACTCAAGAAAGATATTGGAGTCATCATCGACAGTTCCCTAACAATATCCATTCAAGGTGCAGTAGCAGCCAAAAAAGCTAATTGAACGTTAACAAACATTATGAAAGGGATAGATAATAAGACAGAAAATATCATGCCATTACGTAAAATCCTGCTATGCCCATACCTTGAATACTGCATGCAGTTCTGATCATCTCCTCTCAAAAAAGATATATTAGAATTGGACAAAGTGCAGAGAAGGGCAATAAACATGACTGGGATACGGAACAGCTTACATACGAGGAAAGATTAAAATGATTGGCACTATCCATCTTAGAAAAGAGATGACCAAATGGGGATATAATAGATGTCTATAAAATCATGAATCGTGTAGAGAAAGAGAATAGGGAAATGTTATTTACATCTTCATATAAACACGGGAACTAGGGGGCTCCCAATGAAATTAAGAGACAGCATTTAAAACAAACAAAAGGAAACACTTCTTCACACAGTGCAGACAGCCTGTGAAACTCGTTGTCATGGGATGTTGTGAAGGCCAAAAGTACAAATGGGTTTAAAAAAGAATTAGATAAGTTCATGGAGGGTAGAGCCAAGATGGTCAGGGAGGCAACCCCATGCTTCATGTGTCCCAAAACCTCCAACTGCCAGAAGATCATACAGGACGACAGGGGATGGATCACTCAAAATTGCCCTGTACTGTTCATTCCCCCTGAAGCATCTGGCATTGGCCAATATCAGAGACAGGATATTGGTCTAGATGGACTATTGTTCTGACTCAGTATTGCTGTTCTTACGTACTGTTTTATGGATGTGTGAAAGGCACTGGCAGTGTTACCTAGAGGTCAGGCCAGGGTGTGGCAGGTTGTCTTCCTCCTGGGATGTCCGCTTTCTCACTATGATCCACCGTGTGAAGGTCTGTCCTTTTTAGCAACTCAGCCCTTCAGCAGGGTCACATATTCAAGGCCACCCCTTTTGGGGTATACATGAAGAGTCCAATGATGTGAAAAATCTTCACAAGTCAGCAATGGCTTCAGGGCTTTCCCCCTTGCATTGAGATCTTAGAGTCTGGACCCTTGCACCTTCAGGATCTTACCCAATTAGCTTACGTGCCAAAGGATGGAATTCTGTCATTGCCGCTCCTTAGGGGTTTGAAGGACCCACCCTCTTCACAAGACTCTGATCCAGGATCCAATGGTAGAAAGCTAAGACCTGCACCTTGAGGTACTACATAGCTGCCTCCCTGGATCACTTCCTACCTGTGTCTCCTGTTTCCGCAGGGAAAAATAAACAACTGAACACAAAATGACTGTCTCTGACCTTCAGAAGTCACCAGTCCCAACTTTGCAGGTCAGGTCAGTATCTCCAAGCCTCAGACAGCAGGAGCTCCTGAGGTACTCCTTCCCAAGCACTCAGAGCACAGGTTTACTGCCTCCCTCTGAGCTGTTCTACTTCCCTTTTTAAGCTCCAACTCCAGCTTGTGCAGACTTTGCAGGTGCAGCAGATCAGGGCCATCTGTGCCCAGAGCTGCTTCTTAACCCCTTCTTCTCCCTTGTGGAATTTGTATACCCCATCACAGGCTGCCTAACAGATACGTGTGCTGATGTTGTTCCCCCAAATAACAAAATATAATGTATTTCTATCTTGGCTACATGAATATGGCATCTTTTACTCCTGTGCATTTCTGTTTATGCCAAACAAATTTAAGTCCATTAAAGTCATCTGTATAAAAGATAAAGTGATCATTGATGATTCTTTTTATATTAACTACATGAAAAATAATACTATTATACACCTTGTTATATTTAACTCAAACTATACTTAAGAACAACAAGAAAAAATATAGCAATGCTAACCGCTTGTGAGATCTAGATCTGTTCAATAAGTGGGGACGCAATCTGTGTACCTCCTTTATATAATAATAGCAGAAATCTAGGCCCCTATAAAGTCAATGGGAATTTTGCCATTGACATCAATGGAGCCAGGATTTCATCCAGGGTTTCTCTGCATGCACAGAAGTACACAGCGCCTCTTATGGCTTGAAGCTAGAGGTGCTGAGTGCCCTCAACACCCACAGAAATCTGTAAACGTTGTAGCAGACTTACTGAAATCAATGGGAGTTGAGGTTCCAAAGCTTCTCTGGCCCTTAGTTTCCATTTGTTTTTATTGGTTCAAAAATGATACATTTTCAACAGAAAAGTCCAAAGGTGGGAATCTGTGGAACTTCACAGAATTAAAAATGGTTCTGTTGATGGAATATCTGTGTTGGCACAATGCATTTGAAGACCACTTATTCCTTGCATTCATCCCTTCTCCTCTTGCCCAAATTAAACTAGCCACAGTTTAAAAAAAGAAAAAGAAAAGATGTGCAGATTCAAAAGTATTACTGTAATTGCTATTAATACAGGGAAGATTTGCCTTCTTACTGGAAAGCATACTTTCATTTAAAACATTAAAAAATAGAAAAGTTCACACCACATGTTGCAAAGTGCCTTCTTAAAAAATGCTTTATCTCAGAGGTAGCACACTTTCCATATATTGTTACAGTTCTTGTGGTAAGTGTTAATTTCTTTTGGACACAAGTACAGAGAGACATAAAACCCACCCACAGTATGTGGACAGCTGAGTACAGTATGGCTGGTTTTACACATGCTTAATCTACACACCCTCTTTTTCTTTGGCACAGGTTTTCATGAATATGGGAATTTCACATCATGGACCTTTTCATTCCGTTTCTCTCTTAGATTGTTAAGTAACCATATAGACGCATAAGAAATGAAGAGATAGAGATCCATTTAAACATTACATAAAAAGGCTTAACGGATCAGAAAAATCACTGGTAAAGATAAGCTTAGGAGGTTTTTTCATGCAGGTCCCCACATCTGTACCCTAGAGTTCAGAGTGGGGGAGGAACCATGGTACAGAACCATGGTACTCTAGGGTACAGATGTGGGGACCTGCATGAAAAAACCTCCTAAGCTTATCTTTACCAGCTTAGGTCAAAACTTCCCCAAGGTACAAAATATTCCCCCCGTTGTCCTTGGACTGGCCGCTACCACCACCAAACTAATACTGGTTACTGGGGAAGAGCTGTTTGGACGCGTCTTTCCCCCCAAAATACTTCCCAAAACCCTGCACCCCACTTCCTGGATAAGGTTTGGTAAAAAGCCTCACCAATTTGCCTAGGTGACTACAGACCCAGACCTTTGGATCTTAAGAACAATGAACAATCCTCCCAACACTTGCACCCCCCTTTCCTGGGAAATGTTGGATAAAAAGCATCACCAATTTGCATAGGTGACCACAGACCCAAACCCTTGGATCTGAGAACAATGAAAAAGCATTCAGTTTTTTACAAGAAGACTTTTAATAAAAAATAGAAGTAAATAGAAATAAAGAAATCCCCCCTGTAAAATCAGGATGGTAGATATTTTACAGGGTAATTA